TGATAAATATGTATCTATGTATCTATGAGCATATGATTTCCAATTATTGACCTCGGGAATTTATTTTGATTGTTTATTGATAAATAATAAGTGTTAAATGTTAAACAATGAATAAACAAATAAATCTCATTTATTATATTAATGTGTTATATTTGGCAAAGCAAGAGCAACATATTTACAACTGAAGAACAACTGGAACTCAAAACAATTGTCTGTGCACCAACACCAAGGTCAGAATTTTCAATACAAATATCAAGACAGTTCTACTGTATGGGGTGGAAACCTGGAGGAGTACGAAAGCCATCAACCAGAAGATACAAGTGTTTATTAACAGCTGTCTAAGCAAAATACTTCAGATCCGTTGGCCAGACACTATTAGCAACAATCTACTATGGGAGAGAACAAACCAGATCTCGGCGGAAGAGAAAATCAGGAAGAAGCGCTGGAAGTGGATAGGACATACATTGGAGAAAGCACTTAACTACGTCGCAAGGCAAACCCTCACATGGAATCCTCAAGGTCAAAGGGGAGAGGAAGACCAAAGAACACATTACGCCGGGAAATGGAGATAGACATGAGAAAAATGAACAAAAATTAGATAGAACTGGAAAGGAAGGCCCAGGACAGAGTGGGTTGGAGAATGCTGGTCGTCAGCCTATGCTCTATTGAGAGTAACAGGCGTAAGTAAGTAATTGTTATATTTAATTAAAACAAGAAAAAACATTGTTTGTCGAGTGGAATATAATGATGAACTATACATCGTTTTAATTTGAAATGAAACAGATATTATCTGTAGATCGATAAATAAATAGTGGGATTCAAGGTCAGCACTTTATCGTATTTATGAATCATCATCTTGATATCTCTGTATTCCGGTGGGTTGATGTTCATATCAAAGTTAGAACTCAGTATCTTTCCTTTCAAAAGCTAACATATGTTATCTATTAAGTTCCTGAGATCAAATAGTCATTACTGTGTGTATCATGTAAAAACTTTGTTTTCAAGATTTTCTATATTTTGTTGTTGTTGTTGATAACTGAGGACTATGATCGACCAGTCTCGTTTGACTTATATGCATCCTGAGGGGACTTTCTCCATAGTACAATTTAGTTACTAGTTTTTATTAAATTTGACGAGTGATCAGTAATGTAATCTAAGACGCTCGTTTCACCCTAAGACTTATCAGCTGAATGTACGTATATCTCAATGAATAATTTGTTTTAAACAATTTCTGTGAGTTACACTAATTAGTTGTTGAGTGATTATATAGTACGATTTTTGTCCAACATGTAGCTTTGTTCGAGCGCCATGGATCAGTTAGCAGTTCGCTAATTTTTTTTCAAAATAATTCTGGGAGCATCAGTTCACTTAGGTTTAACTTGCTATTAAGTGCCAACTAAACACGAAACTTAGTTCCAGTGAGTCTTATCATTTGTCTCCAGCCACTTAATATCTGTAAATTTCTGACAGAGGCGGAATACAATAATGAATATTAAAGGTTTTATAAAGGATAATAAACAAAGATTAGGATATGTGGCTTTTAATTGCTAAGCAGTGTAAAGTATAACTACAAAAGTGTTAATCTGAAGCGCTTTTGACAGGGAGGGAAAAGTTTTTAAATCTACTTAGCTTTCTATTTTTATCCAGTCAGTGTTAACTCATGATAAGGTTTGTCTTGAATTACAAAAGGATATCGTACAATTAATGTTTTCATGTCACTGAAGTTATTTCAAAAAATTCACATAAGATCCTCTTATTTTAAATACTTTGTATAAGATCTTCCAAGTACTTATTTACTAAATTACGCCTGTTACCCCTCATGGAGGAGCATAGGCAGTCCACCAACATTCTCCATCCAACTCTGTCCTGCACAATCCTTTCCACTGATTTCCGCTTCTCATTCCCGAGTCAATGTGTTCTTTTGTCTCCCACCTTTACTTTTCCCCTCAGGATTCCAAGTTACGGCTTGCCTAATCATTCAGTCTGATGATTTCCACAATGTATGTTCTATCCACTTCCAACATCTTTTTCTAATTTCCTCTTCATCTGGAAGCTGGTTGTTTCTCTCACACAGTAGGTTGTTGATGATGGCATCCAAACGTGTACCTTTCTGACGATGGTTGTGGTAGTTCTCGAAGTTTCAGCTCCTTATAGTAGAGCTGACTGTCTTGACGTTCGTATTGAGGTTTCTGAATGATTGATTTTGGCTGACGGTTGTTCTGAGTTTCATATATTCTTCAACTGTAGGAATGCTGTCCTTCCTTTGCTAATCCGTGCTTTTACATCTGCATCAGATCTTCCTTGTTCATGGATGATGCTTCCTAGATATATGAACGTTAGACCTCTTCTATAGCTTGTCCACCAAATGTGATTAGTTTTGTGTTCTGTGTGTTGTATTTCAGAATCTTTCCTTCTCCTTTTTGTATGTTAAGGTCTTCATGCTGCAGAGGCTACTGCTTTACCTGTAGCTCTTCTATGATTACTGCTGGTCCCATTCCTGATTGAAGGAGGGTTGGGCACGAGATCAGCAACCGAATCCCGTAAAAAACAACTTTGCTTTAAAAATGCTAATCAGAATAAATGATTTAAGATTATCCAATTGTATGATGAATAATCTCTATGAAATACAAAATATATTATTAAACTAACTTTTGTGTGTAGTTGATAAGTAAAGTGCTTCAAATATGTTATATTCATATGAAAGCAGTAATAATATTTATCTGATGTAACGTTATAGTTTGATTATATTAGTTGGAAAATAAAGTCACATTAGAGTTTTATTCTTCAATTTAACTTTTATGTAAGAAACGGTTGAATAACCAATGTGGTTAACGAAAATTCTGGACATACTTTTCTTATTTTTAATACGTTACCAGGTAAACAGAGGAAATTTAGTGTTTGTAAAAGAATCCGTTCATAGGAGTTTTCGAAGCATTATCTGAGTATGTTTGAAGTACGGATTGATCAAAGCTGAAGTTAGACTAAGCATAGTAGGTACATAAGACTAATCAGCTGATAAGGTATTGATTCGTGATTGACCGAGGTGGTTAAAACATGTATCACAGGTGCTCAACCGCCACCTAATTTGACACTCTGTTACGAAATTTAAAGCAAATTGAGGGTTACCAAACAAAAACGTGGCATCGTGTTATCAAATTGATGATCGTTGGATTGAGCCGCGTCGGTGTAGGTGTAGACTATCTAATTTAATCAGAGCGATTGTCGTGATCAATAGTTGTAGATGTTGAATAACATTGTTTAGAAACGGTCATGACGAAGACGCATTTAGTCTTCAGTCATAACATTCTTTGATAATTTTATCTCGCGAATTCATTATTTTATCGAATCATATTTTCTTTGCCTAATGCTTTTCAGTTACTACTGGTACTGTTACTACACCCACAACTCTAGCATTTCTCCAGATAATTTCATCTTACTTTGCTGGTACGCATATATTCCTGGTTCTGCGCTGTTCATGACGACATAACAAAGAGCATCCATTACTCCAGTAAGTATCGAACCAAGTACCCGTGGTTCTTCTGCGAACACTCAAGCTCTAGATTACTAAGCCAGAATCATGTTAACTGGAATCAGTCTGAAATATCACACACCAATCTTCGATTACCTTCAATAATTTTTACCCATCACCATAAACTCTCCATTCTGATAATTATTCTTTACTCACTGATTTTCAGAGGTAATTACAGGAGTTCTACTTAGAGTTTATGGATAGTGAAGTTCAACCATATCGGATTCTAGTCAGCTACTCATAGAAGTCAATGAGAATTGGTTGTTTACTTTTTGTATTGACTAAAGTTAAACATGAAAACCATTGGACGCAGGTTAGGTTGTCTAGAGATTAAGCGCTCGTCTAGGGACCGAGGATATTGGATTCAATACGTGATACAGTAATAGATGCGCAGTCTTGAAGATGTTCATGCATAATTTTCAAGAGATTTCTTAGTTTAGTCATTTTATGATGTCATTTTCACTCAATGATCTTCAAAAACCTCCTCCAGTGTTATTTATTAAAATATATCACTCGTACTCATTTTAACATTCTAAAAAGTTTATGTAATCAGAACAATTGAATTATATTAAACTCGAATAAGATCAATCCATCATATGAGCTTAGTTTCAACCAAGTTACTAATGAATGCATATACATATATATACACAAGAACACAATGAATATTATGTCATTACAAGGTATCAAGTTCATTTAAATATTTACTAATTTTCAATAAGAATTCCTTTGGCAATCAAATTTCATTAGTATGTAATATTAGTCAATCTCTAAAAACCTATTGTATTCAATTGAACAAAATAAATGGACTCAATTTTTGTTTTTGAAACTGTGTTTATATTAGTATACTTAGTCATTCATAAAAATTTAATGAAACATATAGCACAATGGAAAATATTCATGGCTTAGTCAATGATTTATCAATCACTGATCATTAGAAGTTTGTTTCTTCTTCAAATTGATTGATATGAACAAATTTTTACAATGTTCTGTTGTCATTACATAATTGTAACACAATATTATTATGATTATTAATGGCCTTATTCAGTAATATATATTTTTGGTACAATAACGAATTCTCAACACAAACTATTTCATTAAGTTTCCTTTTCTTAATTCGTGATCGATCCCAACGATAAATATTGATTGATCGCTAATTAGATGTTATCAATTGAGGAATTGACATCTGAATAATGTCACTGATTGCGCTTTTTCCTTTTCATCAAACACAAATGAATAGGTTATGCAATTAATTGACATAATGATTTGTTGAAACAAACAAAAGACATATAATTTGTTGAAATATTCAAATGGTAGGAACATATAGCTCAGATATTCAAATAAGTTGCCTACTAGTGATAAAATATGAATGATACTTATAAACTGTAAATGTACATGTATAGAGATGTAACACTTATATTCAAGAAAATAGGTCCATTGAACATTAAACGTTTTATAGTATTCGTTTCTTGTTTTATTTAACTAAATTATTATCATTCAATTCATAATTTTTATCTAATTCAAATACAACAGTTTTATCATTGAATTGTGAAGATTTCAATTTTAATTTAAGATTTGGTGAATTATTCAATTGTAAATTATTTGTTGTTGTTTGAATTAATAATTGTGGTTGGGTGCATAAATCAAATGAATTTAAATAATCTAATGTTGTTATATAACAAAAACGATTGTTCTTCAGTTTGAACCATCCAAACACGTTGTTGTCTTAATAATTTTACTGTTTGATACATATCAACAACTGATTCTTGACGTAATCTTTCTAATACATTACACATTGTTATAAATAAACCTGTTCGACCAGCTCCAGAACTGTAAAAACAAAAACAAACAAAAAATGAAATAGAAATGATTTTTTAAATCTGTCATATGGTATTTAATATAGATTAATAAAAAAATGTTTCTGAGAGTTCATAC